CACAAACCCACTCCAGGCTAGGAATTAAAATAAAAAGACAGAGAGGGAGGAGGAGCCGTCTGAAAACCAAGCTCTCCCCAAACACTGAGTCCGACAAGTTGCGACTCACCAAGAGTTCTTCCCCGCCAGCTGCATCAACTAATTACAAGGGGAAGGCTGGGAGGCAGGTTTCAAGCTTTTCGTGACAGAGCGTTTTCTCTTTCACTCTCCTTTCTCTCGCCTCCTCCATTCTCCCTTCCCTGTTCTCTCTCCTTGTCTTCCTCATCTCTGACGCCTGGCAACGCGCTTCCGCACATGGGTATGCGCTGGCCGTGTGCACAGAGCAGAGACTCACGTGCTGCCAGGATCTTCCAGAGGTCATAGAATTGAACCCCTACCTCCTTACACAAGATCCCTGCTCACCCGTCAGCATCTTCTAGGAAAAGGTTAGCATGGCCTGAACTTCTCCCTCTCAAAATAGCCTTTAAAAGCCATGTCTATTTTTCCTCGTACAAGTAATGCCTACTCTGCAAAAGGTACAAAGAAGATACTTAAGATTATTATCCCAGCAACCAGAGATAACACACTATCAATATTTTGTTGTACAGTAAACCCTTGACATTCTCGAGATTGCATCTCAAGATCTTCATGAATCTGCAAATTTAAGGAACTGGAAATGTTAGGGGCAACCCCAGCCTTTACAAAGAGATTCTCAACTTCACATCTAATTTATATCATCGTAGGCTTAAGGAAGGATGTCCTAGCTTGAGGCTGGGGGCTGGATGAGGTGCCACCCACTTTACAGATGAGGAAACTAGGGCCAAAGGGATATATCAGTTTGTCTGTGGCCCTCAGCTAAATGGGAGTCAAAGATGTGGCAAAGAGAAGGGAAATGCAGTGGCAAGGTCTGCAGAGAACTGGCTGGTGCCTGCGTTGGCAAGGAACTTGGAGGCACAAGAAAGGCAGCAGGAATCCTGTCCTTGCATTAACAGGCTGAGTCTCTAGCTTGACTGAATCCGTTTCCGGGATCTACAGTCAGGTGTATTATCTGGGTCTGGGGACTGAGACACCAGCGGGGATAACAGCCTCCCCCTGGCCCAGGGGGCCCCTCCCTGAGACAGGCGGTGTGCTCCCAGGTATTAGAGCTGGGACCAATATATCCCCAGAGAACGTCCAAGAAGGAGAAAAGCAGATGCTTGCCCCGGATTCTGCAGGAACACTGGTTCCAGAGCGCCCATCCTGCCCAGGCAAACGGGGAGAGCTTGATGGAGCTGGAAACAGGACCAGCCCGCCTCCTCACCCCTGCCCTGCACCTCACACTGCTTAATCCTGGTCAAGTCCTCTGCAGCTAGCATCCGCAGTGGCAAATCTGCCTTGAACAAAAAGATCCAGATGCCCCAGACTGGCAGTTGAACTTACACCTTCATTCCAGGGAACCAAAGAGCTCTGGGCAAGGCTTTTGCTACCTGTAATGCTGCCTAGCCCTCCCCTTCCTCCTCCAGGATTTAGCCTGGGGCTAAAAGCTCTCGTTTGCCACTCCCTGTGCACAGCCTGGAGCCAGCTGTGTAGCGTCTTCCCTTCCTCGACCTGCCGGACTGACTCATCAGCAGCCAGAGTTCCGAGTCCCAGCCGGGAGCCTGTCCTTACCGCGCCCACAGAGCCCTTGCTGAATGCCCCGGTCTCTGCAGTGGAACCTCTAAGCGTCGATTTATGTTTCCCCATCCATGCCTAAGCACCTACAGCTTCTGCCTCCACATCTTATCCCCTCAGAGGCTCATCGAAAAGGAGAACGAGGAATGTCAGGGGAACAATCCTAAATAATGATAAAAACAAGGAGGAAAGGTCTACCAACTGCTCCAAGAATCCTAGCTAGCTCATTCTTCCAAGTGACCCAGTGGGGAAATTTAATTAGGATTAATTGCTCAAATTTCAGGAGGGCCTTTGGAAGTCTCCAGGGATCCCCAGGGTCTTGGGAAATGTTAGGAAATAGAAAATTAATTAATTTCGGAATCATTCACAGAACAAAAAATAAAACACTGAAGTGACCTCTGACCCAGGTAAAGTTTCCTCCTAAGGGACAAACACACTTTTAGACACACGCCCTTCCTATTTGCTTTGGTACCCACACAAACATCTGCATCTGCCATCTCCACACACACCTGGAGATGCCAGGCACTGTGCCCACCCCAGGCAGAGTTGTCAGATAAAAATAAAAATATGAGACACTCAGGTAAATTTGAATTTCACATTAACAACAAATAAATTTTAATGTAAGTATGTCTCAAGTATTGCATGGGACATACTTACACTAAATTTATTCCTTATTTATCTGACAGTCCAATTTAACTGGCCATCCTATGTTTTATCCAGCATCCCTAACTCTAAGACACCTATCTCTAGGTCCCCTACAGAAGTACTCTCACCCAGCCCCACACACACACTGTACTATGAACATGAACCTGATCCACTGTGAATTCACCCTATTTTCATTCAGTCATCTGAAAATTATCAGGGCAGAGGATCTAAGGAGTAGCAGGCTATCTTCAGGCCCTTCACCATCCGCCTGCCTCCTGATCTCACTCAGGAGTGTGGTCAGCGACTTAAAGGTTGGGGGTGCGGGGGCTCTCACGTATACTAAGTGTCAAAGACCTTCGGCATCCCAAAAGGCTATTAGCGCACGCATTCTAAATTTTCCCTCCATGACAGTGCTGGTTGGGATTAAGAAAAGGCTGAAAGTATTGGCTCATATGAAGAGTTTAATTCCCAGGTGTTAGAGAAAATCAAAGAAGTGGCTTAGCTGGTTTCTAAGGTAATGTCACATAGGTGTCCAGGACAGCAGTAGCGTTGTCTTAGCAGCTCTGTTGTTAAAGGGCTAGAGGTGTGTTTTGTGCCTATTATCAATGCCCCCAACTCTGTCCTCCATAGACACTGACCACGGCCATGGAGACAGGGTCTCGGGACATCTCTAAGTCCTTTCCCCGCTCATCGCCTGGAGAGCTGCACACCCTCCAAGTTGGTGGACTCTCTCCTGGTGGAGAAAAGCAAAGATCTCCCAAGTCCCTGTTAGGGTTCCTTGAAACATCTCCGTCGGGGGCCTTTCCTTTGCTGGGCACGTGTGGACAAGACTCTCTCATGTTTTTGACTCACCCTGAAACGAGCGCTGCCCAAGGCTCAGGTCTCTAGCTGGCAGCTTTGCGGTGAGCCTGGGACAGTGGGGAAGGAGGCATTCTACCCAGGTTTGCAAAGCTGACTTGCCTCAGAGACCCCGACTGCCGACCGCCTTCCTCTGGACTTCTACTTGCAGGTTGGTAGAACGGGTTCACTTATCCAGGCAGGCATTGTCGGGGGAACCAAAGAGATGATGTCTGTGAGTATATGGTAAATTCTCAGAAGGATGGGGCAAGATCCGAAACATCAGGCATCTTCCAAGGATAAGATATGCTTTAAAGCTTTCAAAACAGACTTTATATCTCTAGGAGCTCTGCCCTGAGAAACTCAGAGTCTTTAGGATGTAGAAAAAGTTCTCCAGTGTCCTGGAACCCAAACAATATGGAGAAAAAAGACAGAGTACTAGGCTCCCAGAGGGAGTAAAAAGAATGATGGCAGAAGAGTTCAAACGTCAGCAAAAGGACCAGCACTTAAGACTCAGGAGTTTCCTAAGAGTACAAGATTTTTATGCATGAAAATTGACAGAATGATGAACTCTTGGCACGCAGCATCTTGCAGAGCTGACATTCCATAGAGGCACAGGATCCCAACACTCGATGGGAGAAGAAGAAGAGTCAGTGACAGCCCAGCACCACCCAGAACCAGAAAATCCACGGAGATGTTTTAATAGAAGCTTTTTTGGTTGTAAAGATCAGAAACTCTCTCCAGTTAGTTCAAGAGGAGAGAAGGGTTGTTGAAAGGGTACCAGGAACGTCATGGAGCCATGAGTGAAGTATCGTGGGGCCCTGGAACAAGAAAGCCAAAGCCTTTGTGATTCGGGGCCATTCTCACTCATCTCTAGATTGTTGGTTCCATTGCCCTCACTTGATGCTGAATATATGTTCATCTTGTTATCCCAATATCCCAGCTTCCTGAGACTTTCCAGCTCCCATGACCGCCACCAACTGGTCCTTCCTTCTGTGCCTTTCATTCACATTTATGAGAGAGAGAATCTCATTGGCCCATCCTCACCCAGGGGCGAGCCCCAATGGGAGCAGGTGTCCTACCCTGAGCCAAACACCATGATGGGGCAGAAAGGGCCCAAGGCACTCAGGCTCGCCACCTGTGAGCAGAGCAGGACAATCATCACTCTGCCTGTTAAGAAGGGAAAGAGGGGAAGCCACCTTAAAAGAGGAAACACTCTCCACTATCCACAATGAGTATGAAGAATTGGAACCTCAGGTCAGAAGCGCATCCATTTAGAGGACAGTGTGCTAAGAAATGTCCCTCGATTGTCCTGTTTAGTATTCCCATCCTGCACAGCAGGCTTAATTATCTCCATTTTACACAAAAGGAAAACGGAAGCTCAGAAAGGTAACTCCCCAGGGTCACTCAACTAATTGGCGGGGGCCCTAAGGTCCAGCTCAGGCCTGGAGGGCTCCTAGCCAGCATGTTTTCAGACACAGTCAGCCACTGAACAGGATTCTCCCTCTGCAAACATTTGAATGAAATGCAGACAGTGCAAAGCCATTCACTCCCAAAGTCACCCTACATGCGGGAGAATGGGGAGGGAGAGGAAAGCCAGAAGGAGAAATGGATTTGCTTTTCCTGAGTAAATCGGAGGGAAGAAACAGTACGAAGGTGAAGAAAGGTGCCTGTCTCGGGACCCTGGGAGGGACGCAGGGGGCGACAGAGAAAACGGAATCCAAGGGCACAGGACAGTACTCGCTAAAAGGAGGGATTTTTTTGTTGTTCTTTGTTCCTGCACCAAAAGTGCCTATAAAAAATCCCTGCTGTTGCTCCAGCAACAGACAGAACCAGAGGCCCGCACGGCCCTTGCCAGGTCAAGAGCTTTCCCTATGCCTCCACCCCCAGCCCTTCCATTGTCAAGATGAGGGGCAGAGGCGTGCCGAGACACAGCCCGCAGGAGGCGGGCGGGAGCCCAGACCTCACTTGAACTGAAGGAAGCTAGAGCGAGAAAGGAGGGGCACAGTGCTTCTGCGGGCTCCCACCTGAAGACAGAGACAGAAGGTGAGACCAAAGGCAGGTCCTAAAGCGATCTACAGAGAAAGACGAGGAAGGGGATCAGAGAGAAATGGTTAGAGCTGGAACAGACGCACACCCTCCACCTAAAGACCCAGAAACAGACACGTGCGCACACTGTCACAAACACGGAGGACCAGGGGCCCGAGACGGGGGAGGCAGCCTTGTTTGTTCTCCCAAAAGGCATCTGGATTTCTCAGTGAGGGCCTGACTTGGGTCTTTTCCTCATTTTCCAGCTGGACTGAATGGAGAAATGCCTGGCATGAGTGGTGCCGTGAGTCAGCGCAGATCCAAGCTCTGTCCCTCTGCCCCTCTGCTCTGCTCTTTGCCAGACCACACAGCCTCCCTCCCCTCCTGCCAAGCGTGGCCAGCGTGCCGTCCAGGTAACACACGGCAAAGACTCGGGGGTGAGATGGGGTGGCCCGGGCCAGCCTCAGGAAGGGGGCCGGATCCGCTCCCAGCCCAAACGCTCCTGGTCAATTTTCCTGAACGGTTTCCCTTCCTCTCACATCCCTGACACTTTGAATAACCCCTGGAAGTCAGAATTGGAAAACTCAATTTTTCACTGGGGCTGTCAGCCTCTTCCGCGCTACGGGTCTGTGTGGCTTTATTGTGGGGTTGACCAGATGTCAGCCAACGTCAAAGCAGAGCCCAGCAACAGCAGAGTCTTCCCTGAGTGGGTCACACCCCGTAGGGCAGTCAGAAAGACAAGGAGGGCTTAAGTGACCAGAAACCACAGGACACCTATCGACGTGTGCGTATGATAGGATGGCCCCCGCATGTGGGTCTTAGTGGCCCTCAGCCTGGCTGCCTACATCTCTTAAGATATTACCTTTAGGTCATCTTGTACCAACTGTATGTGCCTGATCTCCCACAGGAAACCGCAGAGATCTCAGCAAGCAGGAAACACACTCATCTTTGTGTCCCGGGAGGGGCACGTGCCTGCTGTTCACGTGCTCTTCCTTTTTTTTTTTTTATTAGGAAGATTAGCCCTGAGCTAACTACTGCCAATCCTCCTCTTTTTGCTGAGGAAGACTGGCCCTGAGCTAACATCTGTGCCCATCTTCCTCCACTTTATACATGGGATGCCTACCACAGCATGGCTTTTGCCAAGCGGTGCCATGTCCACACCTGGGATCCAAACCAGCGAACCCTGGGTGCCAAGAAGCCAAACATGCAAACTTAACCACTGTGCCACGGGACCGGCCCCTCACATGCTCTTCTCACGTGTCTGCTAACTGAAGTTCGCTGCAGACGGCCTCCTCTGACTTTCATGAAACACTACGGAGCTTGAGGGGCATGAAAATGGCTTAACATTTCCTCCTCTCTGAAGTCCTTTCTCTCTTGCCAATGGGCTCTCTGCATAAGATTTAGCACTGGTCCACGGACTCAGAGTCCTATCATTGTACTGGTGGGACACCTGAGGACAAAAACGGCATTGACCTGTCAAGTAGCATGGTGGGCAGAATTCGAAGATGACCCCCAATGACCCAGGCTCTTGTACAATCCTCTCCCCTTAGGGCTGGTGGGACATGTAACTTGCTTTTAACCACTAGAATACGGCAAAGGTGATAGAATATCACCCTGTAATTACCTTACCTTGTATGGCAAACGAAAAGAGATCCTGCAGATGTAGTTAATTTGCAGTTGACTTGGAGTCAATCACAAGGTAAATTATCCTGGGTGAGCCTGATCTAATCAGGTGAGCTTTTTAAAAGAGGGTCTAGATGGTCCCCGAAGTTAGACATTCCACCCAGCAGAGGCGCTCTCTCTTTTTCTCTCTCTATCTATCTCACAGCTGGAACAGGTTCTTTTTTTTATTGAAGTAACATTGGCTTATAACACTACATAAATTTCAGGTGTATATCATTTTCTACTTCTCTACAGACTGCATCATGTTCGCCACCAAATATCTAGTTTCCATCTGTCACCCTACTCCTAATGTCCCCCTTTACTCCTTTCAACCTCCTCCCACTCTCCTTCCCCACTAGTAACCACCAATCTCTTCTCTGTATCTGTACATTTGCTTTTTATTGCATTTTTTAAATCTTCCATGTATGAGTGAAATCATACGGTAACTGTCTTTCTCCATCTGACTTATTTCACTTAGAATAATGCCCTCAAGTTCCATCTATGTTGTTGCAAATGGACAGATTTCATCTTTTTTATGGCTGAGTAGTATTCCATTGTGTATATATACCACATCTTCTCTATCCATTCATCCCTTGATGGGCACTTAGGTTGTTTCCAAGTCTTGGCTATTGTGAATAATGCTGCAATGAACATGGGGGTGCATGTATCTTTTCCAATTAGTGTTTTTGTGTTCTTCAGGTAAATAGAAGTGGAATAGCTGGATCATATGGTAGTTCTGTTTTTTATTTTTTGACGAATCTCCATACTGTTTTCCATAGTGGCTGCACCAGTTTACATTTCCACCAGCAGTGCATGAGGATTCTCTTTTCTCCACAACCTCTCCAACACCTGTTATTTCTTGTCTTTTTAATAATAGCCACTCTGACAGGCTTGAGGCAATATCTCGTTGTAGTTTTGATTTGCATTTCTCTAATAATTAGTGATGTTGAACATCTTTTCATGTGCTTGCTGGCCATCTGTATATGTTCTAAAAGAAGATCTGAACAGAAAAATGTCTGTTCAGATCCTCTGCCCAGTTTTTAATCAAGTTTTTTTGGTTTTTTGTTGTTGAGTTTATGGGTTCTTCCTATATTTTGGATATTAACCCCTTATCAGATATGTGATTTGAAAATATCTTCTCCCAGTTGGTAGGTTGTCTTTTCCTTTTGTTGATGGTTTCTTTTGCTGTGTAGAAGCTTTTTAATTTGATGTAGTCCCATTTGTTTATTTTTTCTTTTCTTTCTCTTGCCTAAGGAGACATATCCAAAAAGATATTGCTAAGACTGATGTCAAAGAGTGTCCTGCTCATGTTTTCTTCTAGGAGTTTCATGGTCTCTGGTCTTGCATTCAAGTCTTTAATCCATTTTGAGTTCATTTTTATGTATGGTGTAAGATAACGGTCTACTTTCATTCTTTTGCATGTGGCTGTCCAGTTTTCCCAACACCATTTATTGAAGAAACTTTCCTTTCTCCATTGTATGTTCTTGGCTCCTTTGTCAAAAATTAGCTGTCCATAGATGTGTGGGTTTATTTCTGGGCTCTCAGTTCTGTTGTTCCGTTGATCTGTGTTTGTTTTTCTGCCAGTACCATGCTGTTTTGATTACTGTACCTTTGTAGTATATTTTGAAGTCAGGGATTGTGATGCCTCCAGCTGTGTTCTTTTTTCTCAGGATTTTTTTGTCTGTTCGGGGTCTTTTGTTGTTCCATATAAATTTGAGGATTCTTTGTTCTATTTCTGTGAAAAATGTCATTGGGATTTCGATAGGGATCACATTGAATCTGTACATTGCTTTGGGTAGTATGCCCATTTTCACTATGTCAATTCTTTCAGTCCACGGGCATGGAATATCTTTCCATTTCTTTGTGTCTTGGATTTCTTTCAACAATGTCATAGTTTTTAGTGCACAAGTCTTTAACCTCTTTGGTAAAATTCATTCCTAGGTATTTTATTCTTTTTGTTGCAATTGTGAATGGGACTGTCTTCTCAATTTCTTTTTCTACTAGTTCATTGTTAGTGTAGAGAAATGCAATAGATATTTTTATGTTGATTTTGTACACTGCTGCTTTATTGTATTCATTTATTATTTCTAACCAATTTTTGGTAGATTCTTTAGGATTGTCTACATATAAAATGATGTCATCCACAAATAGTGACAGTTTTACTTCTTCCTTTAAATTTGGATGCCTTTTATTCCTTTTTCTTGCCTAATTGCTCTAGTTAGGACTCACGATACCACGTTAAATAAGAGTGGTGGGAGTGGGCATCCTTGTCTGGTTCCTGTTCTCAGAGGGATAGCTTTCTGTCTTTCACCATTCACTATGATGTTAGCTGTGGATTTGTCATATGTGGCCATTATTATGTTGAGGTATTTTCCTTCTATACCCATTTACTGAGAGTTTTTATCATAAATGAATGCTGAATCTTGTCAAATGCTTTCTCTGCATCTATTGAGATGATCATATGATTTTTATTCTTCATAGTCCTAATGTGGGTATTAATATTGTTCGTATTGTTAATGTGGGTCTTTACAGGATAATCTGGGTAATCTAGGCCTCATAAAATGAATTGAGAAGTGTCCCCACGTCTTCAAATTTTGTAAGAGTTTGAGAAGGATAGGTATGAAATCTTCTTTGAATGTTTGGTAGAATTCACCAGAGAAACTGTCTGGTCCTGGACTTTTGCTTTTGGGGAGGTTTCTAATTACTGTTTCAATCTCCTTACCAGTGATCAGTCTATTCAAATTCTCTCTGTCTTCTTAATTCAGTTTGGGGAGGTTGTATGGTTCTAAGAATTTATCAATTTCTTCTAGGTCATCCAATTTGTTGGCATGTAGCTTTTCATAGTACTCTCCTATAATCTTTTGTATTTCTGTGGTATGTGCTGTAATTTCTCCTCTTTTGATTTTATTTATTTGAGCCTTCTCTCTTCTTTCTTAGTAGGTCTAGCTAAAGGTTTGTCAATCTTGTTTATCTTTCCAAAGAACCAGCTTTTAGTTTCATTGATCTTTTCTATTGTCTTTTCAGTCTCTGTTTCGTTTATTTCCATTCTGATTTTTATTATTTCCTTCCTTCTGCTGACTTTGGGCTTCCTTTGTTCTCTTTTTCTGGTTCCTTTAGGTGTAGCACTAGCCTGCTTATTTGAGATCTGTCGTGTTTCTCAAGGTGGGCCTATATCGCTATATGGCACAGATCCTCTTGGTGTGGGTAGAGGAGCTTGGTTTCCGGCTGGGCAGGCAGCCACCTTCTCCTCTGAGTTCCCAGGGGTCCTCCCTCCCCACTCCAATCCAACCCAGCTGTTTCAAATGCTCATTTCTCTCCACATCTCCCAATCTCTTCCCACCTTGACGTGATGGCCCGCTCTTGACCTCCTTCACCAAGATCAAATCAGTCGGGCGCCCTCCATCGCCCTTCCTCTGCGGCAACACCTCTTTCCCTTCTTGGGAAACTGAGTACGTTTCCTGGTGATAACTTGGGCTCTCCTCCTAAGCTCAGACCAAGGAGCTCTTCCCTGCATCATGCCTTCCTGCTGGGAGTTTGTGCTTCTATTGCCCTGTTTCTTGTGGCTGATCCCCAGATCTCTACCACCAGCCCTGCTCTTTCCAGATCTGCCGTTTTCTCTGTGCTCATCTAGCCTCACCTAGGTGTACCGTCTCCAGCCCCTTCTCTCCACCTCTCTTCAGTGCTTCCTCTGTTCAGATCATCTGCCTCCCAGCCCATCCTCTCAGATGTCCACACTCTGGAACCTCAAAGTCATTTATTCTCCACTTAGCTGCTTTTCTCAAATATTCTTTTATTGGCCACCAAATTCTTCTAGCATAATATAGACCGAAATCATCTCTATCACTACTTACTATTCGAGAATGTTTGAGTGAATTTTCAGGGTGTAAGAAGAAACAAGCACCATAAACATAACAGTGTGCCCAAAGCTGAAGAGGTCTGTTTTCATTATATTTTAAAGTTCAGTCCGTAGAAATGGAGGAAGTGGCCAGAGCTGTGCATGTTGGGTAGGATGGTCACGGAGTAATCCCTCTTCAGGCTGAGGGATGCGTTCATGGAGATTTACACTATGCTGTCTGCTTTTGTGCACGTTTGAGATTCTCCACAATACAAATAAAAAGGGGTTTTAGCAAAATTAAATAATCAGTTAATTTTTAAAAAAGTCAGGGGAGGGTGAGCCATAGTCCCAAATGGTAACAAGAGGCTGGAATTGAATTTCCCCTGCCCCTCTTGAACCCACAATTCTCCGCAGCCCCCACCCAGCCTGCATCCTTCCTGTGTCTTGCCGGGGGCCGTGTGCATTTGTGACATCTGTTCTACAGCTGTGAGAAAATAGCTAGGGAGATAGATAGATACATATGTACATAGAGGATGCCAGTAAATCATTAGTGTGTGTTCAGTGATTTCTCTTTTTGGGGGGCGAGGGATTGAGTCCAGAGACCACCACAGAGATGCTAGACCTGTGACAGTTCACCGCGGGGTCTCTAGGATACAGAGTGTTGTCTCCTACACTTCACACTCCAGTTCCTGCCTGAGTCCAAGGTTAGCACAGCTCCTCAGACGTGTTCAGACCAGGAGCCATCTGATAAAGGTGGCCACATCCTCTGGGCCTGCACTGGTGGTGTGTGGACCAGGGAGTCATTGCACAAGATGAAGGGGCATGCATCACACCTTTCTGAGGACCAGATAAAGCCCCTGTACCTTTCCAGGCCTGTAGCTCCTCATTTACACTTTGACTTTCAATCTCTGGAGCCAAGACTGACCTCGCTGGTTTCTGCCCAGACTCTAAGAGTGCAGTTAGGTCCCATTCCTTCTAAAGTGCCCACCCTGGCCAATATCAAGCCCTTGAAGTGCCCAGAGTGGGTCTCCAGGACAGGCACCATGCGCCCCCCACCCCCCGCCCCAACGCCAGGACCACCGCCACCCTCTGCCATCTTGCTGGGTCTCTAACTGGCCGCAGAGAGCAAGTGATTAGAGAAGATTTAATCATTATCAACACAAGAAATTAAAATTTGTTTGGTTTCATTTCTTTTGCCTTTAGTACTCTGGCAATCTAGAAAAGATAACCAAGGGGAGAGGCTAGCTACTGAGAAATCAAAAAAAAAAGAAAAGAACAGAGACAGGAGGAAACAGACTTCTTTCATTTGTTCTCAAACACTCATTGAGTGTCTGCTATGTGTTCTAGGCCCTGGCGACATAATGGCCAACACAACAGTCACATGGTCTGTTCCCATGGCATTTTCTTTCTAGACACAATCAAGGCCTGAAAAGACGATGAGAATGCAGATCTGGAAATTCTGGCTGTAAAATACCCCACAGAAAGGTGAACGAAGAAGGAACCACAAATAAAGTCACCGCCACTGAGTGTTTACTGTGTGTTATGGGTTGAACTGTGCCCACCCCCAAAAACCCATGTGTTCCAGTCCTAACCCCCAGAGTGTGCCCTTATTTGGAAATAAGGTTGGTGCAGACACAATTAGTTAAGCTGAGGTCATAAGGAGCAGAGTGGGCCCCTTATCCAATACGACTGGTGTCCTCACGAAAAGGGAAAATTTGAACACAGACACACTCAGGGAGAACACCGTGTGAAGAGTGGAGTCACGCTGCCCCAAACCAAGGACCTACCAGAAGCTCCGAGAGAGGCCTGGAACAGATCCTTCTCTGGAGCTTTCAGAGGGAGCACAACCCTGACGACACCTGGATCTTGGACTTCCGGCCTCCAGAACTGTGAGACAACAAATTCCTGTTGTTTCAGCCTCTCAGTTCATGGTCCTCTGTTACAGCAGCCCTGGCAAATGCATATGATATGTAATAGGTGCTATGCTAACTGATTTACATCCACTGTCTCATTTAACCCTCGGGACAACCCATCAATAGGTACCATGGTCCGTTTTATGGAAGAATAAATTAAACGAGAGGAAGGGTAAGTAACTTGTTCAAGGCTGAGCTGCTTCAATCTAAAAGGACAGTGGTATTCAAAGCCTCGGGCTCAGGGAAGCCCGCCCCACACCCAACCTACCCTAATTGGGTAAATCCCACGGCGTTCTTCACTCAGCCTTTCAATCCTTGCTCAAAATAGATGTTGTCTCTTCAACATCTGCTTGGCTTCTGGTTAAGATGCTTGCATGCCCTGTGTGGTGGTCAGATTGGTGCACTCACCTGTTCTAAGTCCATATACATGGAAAGACCTAGTGAGTTGTGATGTTTATGTCACACGTGGCACCTAAATGCCTACCCCCTCATTTACCAACAAATGGGAGCCAACTCTCCTGGCTTCATGCCATCTCACTGTGCAACGTCCAATATACACACACACATACACACACACACACCCCAGCCATCATAGTACAGACTGTTCATGTGATTTATGTTTGTTTAATTTGTATTTTTGTCCATGGTTTGTCACCCAGTTGTGTGCAGATTCCTTACCTCAGCCTTCTTCTATCTAGCCCCAGAAGATGTGTTCCATTTTCAAAGTCGTGGGAGCCAAGTAAAACCTCCTTCGTTGTCATGGGCTAATGGGCTATAGAGCAGCTGCAGACCTGATCCTGAGACACCGTGTCAGGGCTGAGTGACGGGGTGGGGGGGGGGGGGGTGACATGACGCTGTGTTATGAATATAAAGATTCCGCAGTACTATTTTGTTTTGCAAGTGATTTAAGGAGCTTTCATGGGTAATTTTGATTATACTCAATTTTTGTATTTCAAACTGACTTTAACCACTATGTAATCCATGGCTCCACTGTAGTTGAAAAAAAAAATAGTAAGAGAACTAAATCATCAAACAGAACATCAAACGTGTGCGTGTCAACCTCAAAAAACTTGTGCCATGACACTTAAACCACAATCACAACATGGGTAGTGATTTCTTTTCAGCAAAACATCAACCAAACAACAACCAACACGCTGAATTAACGTTGGCATTTTGCATTTTGTTGGGTTTGTAGTTTTGATTGAGTTTATTTACCTATTTGTTGGGTTTTACAGTGAGATAAGCTTATGGAATTTATACCTTAATATGTTTATACATATTTAGGTTACACTACAATTAATATATTTTAAATCCAACAATAGGAATATATTGGAATTCACTGTTATTTTAAAAGAGTCCATAAATTACTCCCATCTGAGGCACAAAGGACTGAATAGACTCATGTATAAAGGGACAAAATAGAAACACATCAATATGGACATTACCAAAAGGCAGAATAGCACAGAGATAAAGCTAAGTGTTTGGGAAGATGTTGGAATTATTAGAGGATGGTAAGTATTTTTCATTCAAAAATAATTTATTAAGTGCTTTCTCTGCCAGGAACTGTACTCGAGACTCATGGCCAAGAGGTAGGGAAAGTAGAAAAAGCAAAAGTAAGATACCGAGATGAATTAAGACCTTGGGCCTCCGAGACATTCAATCTAATGGGAAGAGAGGGCCCCAACAGGTAATATTGATTGGGCACTAGCAAGGGCCACTGCCTCATTCAAGGCTCACAACCACCTATGGGGTAGGCTATACTATTCCCCCATTTCGCCACTGGGGACAGAGAGGCCCACGTGGGATAAATGCTGCTACCCAGCTAGGTGCCCTTAGGAAATCACACAGGGGAGTCAGGAAACCTTCTAAAGTAGCTGTGACTTCTTCTGCATCTTTAATGATGACAAGGAGTTCACTGGTCAACCCTGAGGGGAAAGGCATTACTGTCTGAATGAACCGTTTGTGCAAAGACACAGGGGCATGGAAAACCATGGGTTTTCTAAGGAATGGCACAAAGGTGTAGATTGGCCCAGCTGAGAACATGGCCAGAGTCAGCACCTTTGTAGGGGCTTAAGCCCATGCTTCAACCCTAGTAATGAATCAAACCATGTCACTGGGCCGATCCTTTCCATATTGGTAGAAAAGCAGTGTTTCCTCATGGTTGGAAACCAGGCTCAACTCTTCCAACCAGGGCCACCACATACAGCTGTGCAGGTTGGGCACTGCATAGTTAGAGCTCCGTCTAAATGGCACTCTTCATATAGCAGACATCATAGATATATACATTCATTATGACAATTGCCTGGAAGGGGTAGTAAATTTCTTGTTCTAACAAAATCTGTATTTTCTAACAATTTTCGGACAAATAGAAGTAAAGTATCTCGAGGAAGGGCATTTTTTCCTAATTTACACAAATTTGCCCTACGGGCTAACAGTGGTAACCTAGCCCTTAGGCTTCTCGCTCTCCTGCTGTGATGAAGCCTGGATTCCAACCCAGCGCTGTGATTTTATTTGGACTTTTCGATGCTCTAGTGCATTATATTAAACTCGTTCCAGGAGTTAACACTCTTCCTCTTTCCTCCTATCCCAAGTGATTCCATCTTCCCTACCTGGTCCATCTTTATCCTTCTTAGACCTGGATCTACCAACACTGTCTTTCAGCTAGCAATCGATCACTTTCCCTAGTTAATCTCATTTTTCCAAAATTCAAACACAGCTCTGGGGCCGTGCAGATCCCGTGATCCAAGGAGACAGCAGGCCTCCAACCAGGAGCTGGATTTATGGCACTCTCTCTATTCCGCCATCTCTCGCTGGAATGGCTCCGGAAGCCTCCTAAACATCAATTTTTAAAACTATTAACTTATACATTGCTCACATAGAAATATAAATCACCGTGAGTCGTAGCTGGCTCCAGCTCCTTCAAAAGTCAGCCCTCGGGTCAATTTAGATTCTAATTAAATTGCCACCAGAGCAAGCACCACTACAAATTCACTCTAAACCAGCAGATGGTTTCACCCTCAAAATTGTCCTGACTCTGCCGTACAAGAAACTTCATATAAAACCTAGAAAAACATTCTGCAGAAAGGACACAAAGCCATTTCAGGAGGGTGCTACCTCCGCGCAGGAAAAACAAGACGGACTGGAGCAGGAGGTGAGCGGCTCTCTGTGACACTGTATTTCTTTTTAACAAAATCTCCAACATGGATGGCAAATGTTCACATGTGTTAAACGTGTGTGGTGAGTGCAGGATATCTGTTATATTATCTTCTGCTCTTTGAATGTTTGAAATAGACCATAATTAGCATTTTAAAATTTAAAAAGGACATTTTTTTATGCACTTTGGCTGAAGACCACATTCAAACTATTCATCACGGCAGCTTTAGGGCTTTCTTTGACAAACCCAAAGTAATCAAGTTCTGACCTGGCCGCACCTCGTCTCCAAGGTAAAGTGATCATGATTATAGCTGCCGGGGGCTTGGAGGACCTCCCACCTCCAGCTGGATCGGCGCTGTCGCAGCCAAAGGGCAGCGCCCAGGCTGGGGCGGCGCACTGCCGACCTACGGGGTGTTGATGTGGCCCACCTCACCCCCCCCCCAACACTTCTGCTTCTCCCACTCCTCATCCCTGTTGTTAGACTTCCCCTGTGCCTGCTTCTTTCCCTTCTCGAAAGGAGGCGTGTTTTAAATGATGTATCTATTCTGCCACCTAGCCTTCAGCCATGTCACTACAACAAAGCTGCCTTAAGCCACTCTTCTGCACAGACCTCAATCTTGCTGAACTTCCATTATCTGGGGAGGGACCTGAGCCACTGGGTACTTTATTTCTTGAAGGTCATTTTACCTTAGTTTTGGAGCAGAACCAGCTGCACCAGGATGCCTGATGTGTGCTGGCCTCTGGGAAAGGGACTGGTGTCAATCTCATAAGGTCTTTAAAAGAGGATCATTGCCCACCGTGGGGATGGTTTAGGAAAACCTGTCTGAGAGAGTGGTGAGAGCAATGCATAGGAGTGAATGAAGCCAAGACCCTTAGCTGGCGTTTTCCCTTTCCAACCAGAGGAGCCCAAGATATTTCATGTCCTATTAAAAGGCTATCTTTCCCAAACCATGTTATCAGTGTCACCCTTGCCTAAAAAACACTTAGAAATTTACAAAGAAAAAGGATCAGAGGAAAGGAGTCAAGCTTTATAAAACCAAAATGCTATGCACCCTTTGAAAAATTGTCCACATAAAAGCACAAACCTCGTGCTCAGTTGCACTTCTTGAAATTTCGTTTTGATATGTAGTTAATCTTTTAAAGGAATGGGGAGGGGCGATCTCTGGGGAACCAGACACACATGGATAATATTTAACTTCTTACTTCTGCAAGAAAGACGTGGTCAAAAGGCATCAAAACTGGACGATGCCAGAGTTGGGAAGCTCGGGGCGGTGCAAGCAAGTCAGCTCGAAGGAGGGAACGGGGCCTGGCCGCTGGCATCCGCATCCAGCACGAAGACATGAGCCCCTCCCAACGAAATTCATTGAGACAAATTATTTTTTTCCAGAGGCAATCTCCTGAAGGTGATTGTGAACAGATCTAGGACTTCAGAATGGAGGGAGAAATGGCATCAAGACGGGCTCCCAGGCATCCCATAATCCAACATCCAAACCTTCCCCGCCCACTGTCACACATGAAGTATGGACCCTTAGAAGCAAAACTATCCAGCCAGGCCCCCATCTCTGAAACAAACCACTAGAGACAACTCCAGCCTACTGAGACTGCCTTCTCTCACGCCCCCCCCAGGGAGGCTTCCGAAGTCCCTGGGACAGCAGCTCCCCGCCCATCAGCCAGCTCCCAGCCCTCAGGACATAAGCCCATCACTAAGTGGAGATATGGAATGATCACCTGACATTCACAGACGTGCAGCCCACCCTCTGTCATGGCCCCCTCCCCCGCCCTACCCCAAGGACCAGCTCTCGCCCCAACCTCCTCCTTCCTTCTCTCTACCCTTTCCGTCTTCTCGATGAATCACCCTCCTCTTCCCCATACCTGTCCTCACACATTTTATTTTCCAGCCACTGGAAGTCGGCTAGACAAAAAGACGTGTCACTGGAGGTCGTCTCTCTCAGAATAGAGGGTGGCTGGGACCAGGCAACTCATGTTTCTCTGGAAGGAGCACCACAATTTCCCCATTCATCTGAAATGCTACCAGCACGGCTGGAGCCGGCGGTGCACGGTGCAGAAATAGGCGCAGGGGCGGAACACACAGCGCACGCCATTCGGCCACTTGTCTAGTCTGAACTTGACACAAAAGGGAAAATAACACACCATCTCCCTCGCTCCTCAGACCTTGCAACCCAGTTTTTGAATATTAATTTTCCCTCTACCTTACGAAGCCCCCACAGAGGGGAGAAGCAATGGAACAGGCGTGGCTGTCTTTTTTTTTAATCGGTACACATAGCTCCTCCTCCTTCTCCCAGCCAACATCTAAAACCCCCCCTGCAATTCAGACAAAAAGGCACAACTTCAAACTTTGGCCTTGTTTTCAAATGTGCCTTTCAGCAAATAGCTAAGTGAGAAGAGAAATCAGGATCTCAGGATGTTAACAACACAGAGGAGACACTCCTGAACCAAACCAGCAAGAGAAATAACTATTTGCTTAGAAGCAGCCCTGGGGAAAGAATTCTTATCATAGATAAGGGTGCAGTCTAGTGGCAAACTTCATGAAATGCAGCCCCTTCTCCAAAGGAAAGTCAGAGCACTTCCAAAGGGAGGAAGGGAGATGTAAAAGGGGTCACAGTCCTCCCACCTTCTCCCAAATGGGGTGGCAACGAATCGTCATTTCTCTCCCACCTGGTTATGAAGTCCACAGCCCATCCCTGTCCATTTCAGAAAACAATAAAACCACCAGCTACCTTAAGCCTTAGCTCTCTTTCATTTATTTCACTAAGGGAAGAAGGAGTCCACGGTGTCTGAAAGGATCATCTGAGGTTTCAAATGGGACAAGAATGCTCCTGGTCACAATCACTTCAGAGCAAGCCCCATGGCCCTGTCAGCTCCTATTCCCAGGATGTGCGTCCGTGTGTGTGCCAGTTAACCTTATAACAAGGGGCCCCTCTGGCCAGTCACCCATCCCCTCCAAAGATGTGGCCCTAGCAATGGAAATGCCCCTTTAAAAGAACACGGAGGGAAAGTATCATTCCATTCTGCCTTCCTTGGTCTGAAAACCACCCCTCGGGACATGTTGAGCTGCCAGGCAAGATTTTCAGACCTAGCATTTCCTCCAAAGTGCCAGTCTCTGTAACCCACTGCTCCTAAAGTGCTGCCGTGTGACTGTCCCTGCCTGCAAGTACATAGCACAGATCACACACACACACACACACACACACAGCTTCCTTGGGCAATGCCGTAGTTGAAGGAAAGTGGCCACTTCTTGCCCATATGACCAAAGACAGCCATTCCACCAGCAACAGAAACACCCTTGATTAAATCCCCTTACCCAGGCTTTTGGAGGAAAAATCCAGTTTTTCTTTTTTTCTTTCTTTTTAATTCAGCTCATCACGCATTGCTGGCCATCCTATACTAACACTTTGCCCCCCGAACACATGCACGTGCACACACACACACACACACACACCCTTACACAGTAACCTAGACCCTAGCAGACAGCTCTTTCTCAAAGTTTGGGAAGAATTTCTTGGGCACTGGGTATATCCAGGTGGCTAATAAGAACACGCTTCTCCCTCCAGCCTGGGCTTTGGCTAGTTAAGGGGTGGGAGGGAGGGAGAGACCGAGTTACTCCTCATTGTGCCCAGTGTGCTCCGAAGAACTCTCTCTTCCAATTGCGCCCCCCACCTCAACCCCTCCCCCCAGCCCCTTTCTTACATTCCGGCGGAGGGGGGCGCGGTTCAGGGAGCAAAGGGGAGCCCCCCGTGTGTCTCGAAGGCCTCTCCCCACCCCCACCCCGTGTGAGTTTGTACTGCAAAGCTCCTTGGCATCCTTGCCTGGGTTGGGTGTTGGGGAGCTCAAATTGCAGCTACAAACTGGCTGGCAGCCAGGGGCCGTCTATTTAAAAGCGCCTGCTCGACCGGAGCCCGTAGTCTCTTTGGAAACTTCTGCCGGGGAAAAGAGCTAGGAAAGAGCTGCAAAGCGGTGTGGGGTTTTTCCTTTTTTCTGCTCCTTTTAATAACCCCCTCCTCCGTTTGCACCCTTCTCCGGGCTTCACGCAGAACCTACGAATCTCGAAGAGGTGGTGGCAGAGTGGGAGCAAAGAGGTGTTAGAATTTTGGATTCGGGGCTTTTTTTTTTTTAATTTCTCGATTTCGACATTCTCCCCCACCCTCGCGGCTTCAGCCGCCGCCTCTTACCTGTTCCGCGGCAGCCGCGCGCCGCTGGCAGCTGAGGGTTAGAAAGGAGCAGGGTGTACTTTAGATCTTAAACAAAATTTTTGAAGACAAATCCATTTTTCTCCCCCCACCCCATTCTCCTCCACAGCCTCCGAGCTCATTATTCCGGTGGTTGCTTTGAGGTGAACAATTTTTGGCTTTTTCCCCTCTGCAGTTCTGACCAGCTCCGGCTTGAGGGCTTGTCTCTCCAGCCTCCACTCCCTCCGCGTGCACCTGGCGCTGCTCTTTTCCCCCCAACCTGTTGCAAGTCTTTAATCCTTGCAGTTGGGGCTTGCTTGCAGGCACCGCAGCCCTCCGTCTCTCCCCACATTTTGCCATTGTCTGGGGGAGGGCACCTGCTCTACCTGCCAGAAATTTTTTTTAACAAGAAATTTCCCCGGGCGCCCTCTTGGCCCCTTTCTCCCTGCACTCTCGCTCTCCTGCCCCGCCCCAAGGTAACGGGGGAGACTCGGAGAAGATGGTGCTCACCGCGGTCCTCCTGCTGCTGGCCGCCTTTGCGGGGCCAGCCCAGAGCCTGGGCTCCTTCGTGCACTGCGAGCCCTGCGACGAGAAAGCCCTCTCCATGTGCCCCCCGAGCCCCCTGGGCTGCGAGCTGGTCAAGGAGCCGGGCTGTGGCTGCTGCATGACTTGCGCCCTGGCCGAGGGGCAGTCGTGCGGCGTCTACACGGAGCGTTGCGCCCAGGGGCTGCGCTGCCTCCCCCGGCAGGACGAGGAGAAGCCGCTGCACGCCCTGCTGCACGGCCGCGGGGTTTGCCTCAACGAAAAGAGCTACCGCGAGCAAGCCAAGATCGGTGAGCGCGCTCAGTGTGCCAGGCGGTTACACGGCGCACGGGCGGGGGACACGGGACAGGCTGGCTCCGCACGCTGTGTCCAGCAAGTGGCTTAGAGCGGGGGTGCAGCCCGGGAGGAGGGCGGGGAGGGTCCTTGCCCTTCGGAACTGGAGCCCTGGCTCATCCAGCTGCCCTGGGCTGCTGTCTAGCCAAGCCTCTCGCGGTTTTCGTTCCTTCTCCTCGCCCCTGCCCCCACCTTACTCCACCGCACCCCTCCCCCTCGCCTGAATACAGACTCTCAGCTCCTACTCGGTCTTAAGGTCCAAATACCCAGGTACTCAGTCTCTGGTCTGGAAGGGTGCATGTTACATTATCAACCCCCTCCTCCACCTCTCCCCACCCACCCAATACCTTTTTTCCCTGAACTTGAAAAAAATCTCTTTTGTTAAAATATTGCTTTAACTGGGGACTTGGAGAGGCGTGACCAGCCTTCCGTGCTCAGTCCACCTTCGTCCTTCCCAGCCCCTGCCCCCTACCAGTCCCTCCTGACGTTTGTATCCGTCTGCTCCGACATACACACGCACGCACACGCACGCACGCACCCTTGGGAGCTCACGCCTTTTGGGTGGGGGCTTTGACGCCCCTCCCGCGTGCACACCCAGTGCTCTTGACTTAGTATGATTGATTGTGGTAGATGGTAAAACGTATTAAAACGCAAAATACCTTTTTCCTCCCATGAAGGGAAAGACTACTTGAGGTACGCTTGGCGGGGGCGGGGGCTGTGGGGAGAGGGGTCATGGGGGAAGGGATAGAAGGAGGGGTTTGGTGATCCGGTGCTGGGTGTTCGTGACTGAATCTAATTTCTTTTTCCCCGCCCCAATTCAGATTTCACTTAGGAAGAAAGGTGGATATAGGGTTGGGAGGCAAGAAGGGATGTGAAATTCAGACATCATTTCTCCGCCAGTGCTAATCCCCACCCCCACCCCAATCTCTCAAACCAGACCACAAGTGGGTGTGGCGTAAACGCAAGGAGGGCCCTGGAAACACAGAATGCAAAAGCCAGGGGGCGGAGACGGAAAAGCCACGCACCCGGAGCCTCCCCTCAGCCTCCAAGTAGCCCCGCCCCCAGATTGCCCCGCCCCCAGATTGCCCCGCCCCCAAATTCTCGGTGCCGAGAGTCTGGGGTTTAAAAGGTTGACCGAGCTACCTGCTCACTCAGAACAGTTCTGCCCCCTTCAGACTGGGTTTCTTCTCGGAGTTACTTAATCTTAATTTTTTTTTTTTAAAGTTTTAATGGACTATGCACTAAAGTCTGGATTCTGAGACGTCAGCCTGGTGATTGATCCTCTCCGAAAGGGTTGGCTAAATAATGTTCATTCTGTGTGGTTTCTTGCTGGGACAATGCCCTCCCTCCCTCCTATCCCCTTCCATTACAAGCACCCCAACATGAGTTTTCCTAACTGCAAACCAGACTCTATAATGTAGGAAAGGAGTGCGCTGGCACTTGAGAAGAGGCAGGAGAGTTTTTCCGGATTCCACCTGGATCCCCGCAATTCCTGCAGGTTTTCCCTGTCGCTGGCGGCCGCCCCTCCAGCTTTGCAAGAGGTAGTCGCTCTCCGGATTGCAGCCTGCAAAATAGGGACAGAGGGCAACGTGCAGGCCCCGGAGGCCCCAGAGGCTGGCTTGTGGAGTTATTTTTATTAAGAGCCACTTGTCAAAGGCAGTCCCGCCCGCCTTCATCTCGGGGGATGTGGATTTGGGAAAGCTTAGCACCAGGGTAAAAAGGTATGAATCGATTTCCTGGCTTGGAAGGGAGCGCTCTGGATGACAATCTGGTCACATCGAAAGTATGCACGGTATCACTCAGCCGCACTCTGGCCCCACTTTTATTTGCCCAAGTGTGTGGTTGCTGTGATGCGGTTGGTGTGGAGGGAGTGCTCACAGGGCGCACGCGCGCGCGCAATTGCTGAGAGAGCAAATTGGCGCATCCAACTTTCCAGTTCAACCCGCTACACACATACACACACACACACACACACGCCGGCTTTTTGCCCCAAGTAAGATGCCCTTTAGACTTCTCTGCAGCCTCTTCCTCAACCCCCACCTTCAAGGAGCCTCTGAGCCAACACATAGCAGCCTCCCTGCCCCGCCCCCACCCCGCTCCAGCTCTTCTCACCGACTCCACCCCGCCTTAGGCAGGTGCCTGACCGACCGCAGTCGCGGGATGGCTGCGCTCCACCGGTGGCTGGAGCTGACGCCTTCCTCCTGGACCGACGGGATGGGAGTGGGCGCTCCTGGCTGGAGCCTCTCTAAGCTCGAAAACCGTTGGGTGGGTCCCCAAAAAGTTGGACATGGTGCAGAGAGGAAAATGAACAGAGAAAGGAAGGAGCGTTTTAGCTCCTTTGGCCAAAATTCCTGCTCCGCAACATCCTCTATGCCCCCTACCAAAGTCAGCAGGGCGAACTTGCATTTGCCCTCCCTCTCGCGATTGTCATATACATACAAATACAGATATAGATGATATACGTATACATGTATATATATATACACATGTATCTTTTAACACGTATGTCTATAAAGAGATAGATAGATAGATATGTAGGTAGATAGATATTTTTAAGCAAAAAAAAAAGTGCCTTTCTAGAATCTGAAATGGGGAGCTGAGCAGAGCGCGGCGGCGGGCGGCCAGAGCTGCTGGAGGAAGAGCGGGCGGGCGGGCGGAGCCTGGCGTTTTGCTGCGCGCGTTGCTGAGCAACCGGGAGTCCGCCCGCGAGCCCGGCGCGGGAGCGCGCCGCGCCGTGCATTTCATTTGGGCGAGTTCAGGGGCGAAGATAGATACAGAAACACAGGGCAGTGTGTGCGAGGCTGGAGGAAGGCGGGAGACGGGAGTTATTTATTGGACCCAGTTCAATAAATATCGGTGAGCTGGGTCGAGTCGAGGAAGGACCGGGCTCTGCCCTGCGCATTGTTTGGCAAAGGAGCCTTGTGGCTTCTTGGGCGGGAGGGCGGCGCGCAGACTTGCCCGGGTCTGGGTGATCTCTCCTGTGCCTGTGAGCCATTGAATTTGGGATGCAGGAAGAAGCGCTTTCTGGGTTTCAGTTCCGTCACTGAGAAATAAGAGAGAAAGAAGGACAGAAAGTATGCTTCTGGGAAAGAAGAAAAAAATCCCTCAATAAAAATGAATTCAGCCTTTGCTTCTTGGAGGGGTTTGGCTTCCGTCAGCCTGGCATCCACGCCACGCCTGGTCCAAATGCCATGTTGAAGTCAAGTTCCAGAGTTAGGTTTATTGGCCAAATTTGTGTCTGGGTTGAACAAGACTATGGAAAACTGAAGGAGCCAGATGGCTTTCCCACCCGCGCGCGCCCCCTCCCTTTGAAACGAGTCTTTGAGAGGCTGGCTGCGCCCTGAGCCAACCAAAATGGGAGTTGGGACGGCTAGAGATGCTGCTTTTAACTTGAGCTTTCTTGCCGTCCTCCCCCCACCCTTCTGCTGTGTCAGCTCAGACTGGAAGTGCAAGCACAGCTGGCCACAGTGAGACCTCATTTTCTTTCCGTTTCTTTTTTACTCTTTCTTATCCCTCCCTCCCGCTCCCCCCTCCCTCCCGCTCCCCCCTCCCCCTCCCCCCTACCAAGGCATCCCCTGGGGGCTTGAGTTTTAAGTCAGTGCCGCTCGAGTTAGTCCTGGGGCTGGGGTTGGATTTGAGCAGGCAGGTGGATTTGCAGCTGCAGAGGGACGACCGGGCTGACCTAGGAGCCAGAGGTCACTGTGGGGGTTACAGCAAAGGGCATGGGAGCAGGAATCCCAGCAGAAACCCTGGTCCTCTTAAGGGGGGCCGGGGGGGGGAGGATGCTAGGGGGAAAGGAAGGTGATTTTTGTCTAAAGTTTTTACTTTGTACCTGAGCAATTCCTTTGCAACTCTGAGTTATTTAATGTGTGGAAAATAAAACTTTGGAGACGGGATCACCAACTCCAGACCCACTGCGTCCAGAAACTGGAAGAACGCTATAAACGGACCAGGTACCAATGAGGGCGGGAGAAGGGTTGCTGGGAGAGACAAAGAGGCAGTGTGGAGGGTTTTGTTTAAGTTTTCATTTTGCATTTTTGTTACAGTTGGTCCAAAAGTTGCAGTCCCCAGAGGCCAGCCTTAAATTGCAATCTGGATATGTTTTCCAAAACGCTAAGATGTATTACGTAGTTGCAAAAATCAATAAGCAAATAAACAAGGAAGCCAGTTCTAGGCTTCTCCTCCTCTCTCCCCCATATCCAGAGAACCCCCCACTTTTGTCTCCAGTTTCATTTCTTTCTCTGATTTGTTATGATGTCAGGGTTTTTTGGTATAAATCCAGAGGAATGACTGGAAACCTGTATGATAGGCGAAGTGGCCTTTCCTGCCTGGCCGCCCAGCTTAGCCCGGTCCTAGCTTCTCTCCAGTAGTTGTCTGGGTGCTGGCCGAAGATGCTAAAGCTGGAGGGAGCCCCCAGCCATCCTTGCCATCGAGGCCTTCATCTTACAGATGTGGACTCTGATACGCAGAATGCAAGTCACTTGCCCAAAATTAGTCACAGGGTTAGCAGCAGAACCGGGGCTAGAACCCAGCTCTTCCTCTCTGGTCCTTGGACTCCATCCGCTGCTCCTGGCTTGTGTCCCTGTCACTAGGGCTCTGGCTGGGGCCTCGCCTAACCTGCAGTGAGGCCTTCAGCAGACACTGCCCAATGCCACCCTCCCATGGTGAGGGTTGTAAAGATGGAGGAAAAGCTCAGAACTTGGGAGTGCTCCATTCTAGGGGAATGAAGTGTCCCCAAAATGGAGAATGCAACACCCCGCTTATTTACAGGCACATTCTATTCTGTCCCTTTTTCTACACAGTCTTGCAAACAAGGCTGGCTAGGCCAGTGGTTTGGGATAGCAGAGGGATGGGGCAAGGAGAGTGGAAAGAGGCAGTGTTCAGCCCAGACCTCAGGTCCCTGTGCCAAACCTCATTTCCTGAATGACAGGGGGCTCTCCTGATGTGGGAAGGCAGG